CCCGTCCCGTCTAACATAGTACTAGGTGTTTAAATAGTTGTGACCAGTTCTCAACTCCCCACCCGTCTGGACCCCCCTCCCTCTTTCCCTCTTAATCTTCCCCTTCCCCCTTCCAACCATCCCCTCCCCAAATCATTTTTTGGCGTGTAACGCTCATTGAATCATTTTTTTAAAACTCCCATGCCTTCTCCTTTCGCGTAATCTTCTTGCCAATAAAAAAGGACACTCAGAAGACGATATTGTTGGGGGGGGGGGTAACTTTACATTTGCTAGACTGTAGGATGTTTGTAATGTTATTGTATTTTACGCCTCCATCAACACAGTTAAGACCACTTAAGATGCCTGCAGCTTCGAATCTACTTGTCTGAGCCCCTCCCGGACTGAAAAGGATACAACTAACTTAACTTTAACTTTTCCCTTCCTCTGATAGCGGGTTGCGGGGTGGGGGAGGGGGAGTCGGGACGAGATACGGTCGTCTGCCTGCTCTCTCGGTAAGTGGCCTGGACAAGAGACACGTCGTGGTGGGTGGTTGGCGGGTGCTCTGGTGATGTTTGTTCCTTCTTCCCTATCAAACATAACATGTCGTTCTTATCTCTCTTCCTTCGTTTTTGTGTTTGTTACTTTCTTAACACCTCTTATCTTCGGAACTTATATATGACCCCATTGTGTTGCAAGTGCCGTAAAACTCTTACTTAAACAAAAGAGACATAATGAGTGTTCGGGGTGTGTCTGCTGCAACGTTACTCCAACATCGCTTTGGTCTTCTTCTTTATCTCCTTCCCGAGAATCAGTGAGACACAATAGACATGTACAATGAAAAAGACGAAGATACTCGATTTTTTAAAAAATCATTTTCTTAGGATTTAAACTCGCGTCTTCTGCGAGAAGTAACAAATGAACCAACACACTGCAGCAAAAAGGCACCCATGTTTTTGTTTGAACAATTCGTTAACAAAAGATAAAAATTAAACGGCAGGTTCTGATACGGCCGGTTAGTTCGTTTGAATACAGCGAAGCACGTCACATAACGGCCATTTAGTGCAGAGAAAATGAAAGTCAGACAGACAGAAACAACAGAGGGAGAAAAGGTAAGTAGGACTTACCAGTGACACCCTCCAATCTCCCAACTGATACGGATTTGATAATCAGGCAGAAATAAGATTGCAAAGAACATATGAGCATCTTGTGACGAGCATGGGATAATTATTATGGTGACAGCGATAACCAGCCGACTTGACATACTCACATGGATTTTAAAAAATATGGAAAAACATGAAGCAACTACCATCTCTCCCCCC